GGGGGGGGAAGAGAGAGAGAGACAGAGACAGAGAGGGAGATGGAAGATGTAGGAGAGAGATCACCTATCGGTGAGGTAGAGAGAGAGGAGGTGGAGAAGACGTGACGGACACATTGGCTAAGAAAGGGAGTCTGGAGGGCGGGGTTGAAGATCAAAGAGGATCGAACGGCTAACAAACCTTTAGAATTGAGCTCATTGCGCTGCGCTTCCAACCGCCGCAAATTTTGAATTTTGTCCCTTAATAACAACTCTAATTCCTCAATCCTCCCCTTGTAGTAAGGACGCAATCCCTCCCCACAACGCCCCATCTTTCTCTTTACTTTCCCTAAATCTTAATTAATTGCCACCTGGCCCACCTCCCTTCTTCTTCGTACCCGTGCGTAATCGCACCGTCCCGCCTTCCTTCTCTCTCACGCGAGTGTTTAGCTGCTCCCGCGCTCTCTCGCTGTCTTCCCTCCCCCTCTTCCGCGCTCCCTCGTTATCTTCCTTTCCCCCTCTCCCGCGCGATGTCCAAGACGTAGAACGAAGGAGAACGTCCCGGCCTTCGTCTCCGCCTCGTCCCTCGCTTTTCCGATCTCACCGACAAAACAGTGCAACCGCTCACATGCTCTCTCACGCTCCTCTCACCTTCTCTCCCGGCGCATGGGCCTCTCTCCACTACCCACCGAATGCACAAGAACCCTGGCAACCAACGGGCCTGCGTAGCTCGGTTGGTACACCAATGAACTGTTGAAGTACAGATCCGAGTTCGAATCCTGATGTACCTAGATGAATGCCATGAAATAATTCTGAGGTCTAGGTCAGTTCGGATATCTGAGGGCCAACATATATGCCAAAATGCCCCTAAAAGATGTGGGTCGAGCGGGGTGTTTTGGCCCTGTTAGGCCAGTGTGCAAATTTGTAATCTGGACCTCGTTGGGGCCTGGGCCTGCACCCTGTTTAACCCAGTTTGCCCTCCGTACGGGGTGGGCAACTTTTCGCAATACCCAGGCCCATATGCGCGGCACTTTGCCTCCCTGATTCAAATTGTCTACCGCGTGGGGGTGGGCGCGGGGAACGCAGCCCTAAGGTAGCCAAAGCAATGAGACTAAGAGCGCACACAAGAGAGAGAGAGGGGGAGAGAGAGAGAGAGAGAGAGAGAGAGAGAGAGAGAGAAAGAGAGATTTTTGTTCCATTTATCATTACGAGTGTGAGAGAGAGAAAGAAAGAGAGATAGAGAGGGAAGGGAGGGGAGGGGGCTACCACAGAGAGAGAGAGAGAGAGAGAGAGAGAGAGAGAGAGAGAGAGAGAGAGAGAGAGA